GGGGCCAAGCCTGGGTCCCCCAGTCCCCAAGGGGCAGGGACGGCATGAGGAAGAAAGCTCCTGGATGAAATTTTTCCATCTATGTCACCTGCTACTGCTTCTTTATGGCAGCTAGGGTAAAAGTGGGGTTCTGTCATCGCTGTGCTGGGGACAGACCCTCTGTCTGGTCCCAGCGGCAGCCAGGCTCCTTCCTCCTAAACAGGACAGGCAGAGCATCATATCCCAGTCCTCAGTTCTCTGAGCCGTTTCCTCCTCTCCTCCTCCTCCCCAGGAGCAAGCCAGGTAGGAGGAATAAAATACCCCAAGTAGGTGAACAGTGTCATCACTTGCCAGGGCGGATGTTGGATTTATCTGTGGATGGAAAGCCTTTGGATCGAAACAGGAACCTGTCAGCCATAAGGAAAATACTCATAAAAAGTATCTTTGCTGGGGAGGATACGAGTGAACCGTTCCCAAACCCTCAAGCCCCTTCTGCCTCTGCATCAGTAGAAAGTGCAGGTACGTGCTCACACCCCGAGTGCTCTGGTTCCAGTCCCACCTTGAGAGGAGAGGCTGCTTTTCCCTTTCCCCCCGTCGGCACGGGTGCGTTGTTCATCTGCCTTCTCCCGAGAAGGGCAGGAAGGAGCACGGTCCCTTTGGGGGTGCCTCATCTAGCTGCAAAGGTCAGGGAGGAGGGAACAGAAGGCTTTGCTCTCAGAAATTCCCATTTCCAACCGCTTCTTCCCTCCCTTGGGGTCTGGGCAGAGGGACGTGGGGCCTGACCGTCCCCCCTGTGCCAGGAGCCCCAGGACAGAGGGAGTGGGGGCTGGAGGCAGGAGGAGGGAGTTGTCCTGGATAAACTCCAGGTCAGAGGCGAGAGGGGCCTTGGGCCCACTTGGAAACCATGTCAGGGCAGGGGAGAGGCCTCTCCCCACGCAGGAGACTCCTGTGCTCCGGGACCTCTGTCTCCAGCCTCATAGGGGTTGTGTTTGTCCTCCAGAGTGAAGCCTCCTTCCATGGCTCCCTTGTTCAAAGGCCTCAAAACCGGTTGTTCCCCAGGAGTCCTGTTTGCTCCGATGTAGGATGAGCAAGCCATGGCCAGCCCTTTCCTCTGCCTTTCCCTTCTACTGGCATTTGGATCCCAGTGTTGCCCTATCCCTGCTATCTGTCATGACCGGCAACATTGCAACCATATCCCAGTCCTGTTCATAAGCTGCCCTTGCCTGTGCTGCAAAGTTGCAGCTTATGGGTTTGCGTTGCTGGGGTAAAATCCACAGCCTAACTGTGCGGCTCTCACTCGCTTTGGGAGCAAAGCATTTACTCACCCCTGGGAGCAAATCGCAGCCTGCGAGTCTGTGTGTGTTTTTTCTACATTGTATGTTGAGAGCATTTAACTTGGGCTTGCAGGGAAGCCTCGCTGCAACGTGCCCGAGTTTCCTTCTGCAGCAAAACAGTTAAGCGCCGAGTCCCAGCCAGCCCACCGAGGACTCCCCCGTGGCAGGCTGCAGAGTGTCCTCCAGCTCAGTCTGCCATGCTGAGGAAAGGACAAACCCAGCTTTCCACGTGAATATGCTCCAGCCTCATAACCGGCGTGACAGCGGTACGCGTGCCGGAGCGGCTCTGCTGCAGTCGGGGGAGTGCGGTGGTGTTGGTCCAGAGACCAGACCCAGGCAGTGTGGAGAAAGCGAGTGCTAAAGGCAACTGGGAATTCTTTAAAATAAAAGCCCCGATATGCGAGGGTTGGCCTCTGTGGGGTGGATGGAGCACAGAAGTCCCTTCCCCTGGTGCCAGCTTCCCCCCCCCCCCCCCCCCCCTGCCTTTCTCCCC